GAAAGATTCTACTATGCAATTGGTTGCCTTTACCAAGGGGACAGGTGTGTAGAGAAGTGGACAGGGGGAGTTAAAAATACTTGTCAAGTTTTTTGAGTTAAAGGGTGGCTTAGGCAGTGGTTTGTCCTCTCAAATGTGAAAACATGAGGACTACTGTCTTTGAAAATTTTGGTTCCAAGTGGGCATATCAATTCTGCAGATATTTACAACTCTTACTCTCATTATTCATTTGCCTGCCTCTGATCTACCCAGACCAATCAACTATTTCCTTTCTCTAATTATTCTAGTTTTATTTTCATTTCTTTCCCACTATCCCCTATGCCCTTCATGCCTCTCCTCATGTGGCAAATTTCTTCAGTTATACTCTTTATGGAACTCTTGAAGTTTTACCTTCACAAAGCTTTTCTGAATTACAAACCACTCATTTTTGGTAAATAGTTTTTAATGGAACTTCAGATAAACAGAATTGATAAAATATGACATTGACTGATTTTGTAGACCTAAAGCCTTGAAATTAAATAATTTAAGGCTCTCATATGCTGTGCAACATAGGATTGTGAAAAGTACACTCTACTAGGAGTAAAAAGACCTGCATTTGAATCTTGGCTGTGCCACTTGCTGGCTGTGTAATCTTGAGCAAGTCTCTTTATTTGTCCTCTTTATGCCTCAGTTTTCCTTATCTGCCTAATGGAGACAATCATATTTATGCTGCATACCTTATAGGTTTATTTGTGAAAAAGTGCCTCATAAACTTTTCAGCACTATATAAATATAAGCTGTTATCATATTTTAGTAATTACCATCTACTTACAAAATCTTACGTTTTAGCCTGACATTATTAATGCATGACCAACAAAAAGAAAATAGGTGATCCAAGTTCTAAGAGCTGTGCATGTGTAGGTAAGGATTTCCAAATACGTAATGAACTCTCATGCTCATGGGGAACAACAGCTCAGTAGTACTGGTGAAACAGCTAAGAAGATACTACCTAATTGCAACAAAATTCAAAAGCACTGCTAAGTGCTTTGTAAATCTAAAGTGCTATGTAGATTTAATGAACAAGAGACACTTCTGGACAAGCACCTGACCCTACTGTGGCCCAGATCTGGGCTCACTCTAGAAGTTACATGTTCTATCTTGCATTTGTATCTTCTGTGTCTGAAATATAGTAAACAATACTTTATTGATCTCTCTTCTTCTCCTTCCCTCCCTCCTTCTTTCTATCTCTTTGCTCTTTCCCCCTTTCCCTTTTCTCTCTCCCTCTGACACCAGAGGTTGTTTTGGGGAACAGCAAACTCTCCTTGGGTACAAGGGGTACACTATGCCAGAATCCTTCCCAGGTTAGTCCTATGTCCCTCTAACGTACTGCAGCATAGAAAGTACTCATCTTCCTCAAGCAAAGATAACTTCAAGAGCATGCTATTCAGTTGCTGCAACATTTTAGGTACCACAAATTGACCATAAAGTCACTCATGGTTCTTCTTGTGCTGAACCTTTATGTACTGTACAGAAAAGAATGATCAGATACTGTTAGGAGGCATTGGTCCTCTGCTAAGCCTTGGGGCTCTACTCCCACTATCAGCTCATAGTGACTGGTATTGTTCATACTTAAGAGGCATTAAATGTGTGTATTTAGAGGAAGTTATTGGCACCAACACTATTGAACTATGGTTATTGGTTGCCATCGTTGGTGATTTTGCAATATAGAAGAATCTGCACAATACACAGGAAAGTGAATTTTCATCAAACAATGAAAAAAGTTCTGCACAGCACCTCTGACATTCAGAGAATGGGAGGGTGGGGGGCAGCGTTGAATACTCTAATAGTAGTATATGAGTTCAACTAGCAACCCCCCCACCTCCTTTACACCTAGAATTCATGGGGTTTGGAGACAAAAGTATCAAAGTGGTAGACCTATCCTATCAGTGAGATAGTAACTACAATTTTATTATGCCCACTCCCATGACGATAGGGTCCTGGATCTACCAGCTTCCAATGAAGGGGCAGCAGTCTTAGAAAATAAACTTCACCTCTAACTGAAAGGTGAGCCTGCTGCCAGGACATTTGGAGTAGCTGACTTCTTGCTCCAGAGTCAGCAGAAGGCACACATTAAGTAACATTGAGCTTGACTACCAAGGGTAAGTGTGACCATATATAATGGTGGCCATCAGACCTTTAGCTGGGGTCCACGAGAACTCCTGGCCAGGTTACTACTATTGCCAGTCCTATTGCCATAGCTTATAGAGTGTGGGTCTTCCTTCTTGGAAAGCAGTCATTCTTTCTGCCCTATTTTTCTTTGTCTCTGTATTATATATGATTCTTATAGGTACCTCTAGAGACCTCTGCCACTAGGAGATTCACTTATATGACAACTCCTGGTCATTTGTTGGCAAATAGAGAAAAAGGAGGACGCTTTTTGGCTTGGTGATCCAAGCCCTTTGCACAGGCGTAGAGGAGAACACATCGACAAGGATGCTGGCCCAGAAGGCTTGAGCTAGGCCTCAGAAAAGGACATTGTATTCAAGATAAGCCTCATTAGCATGGACCAGAGAAGCTAATTCACTTCTCCCATCCCCTTACTAAATAAACTACTTTGTGGTTTGGCTTAAAACTCTTCACAGTTTATCCGCCTCCATGGTGGCCCAGAGGATAGAATGCTGCTCTTTGAGTCAGGATGACCTAAATTTGAATCCTATATCAGACATTTAGTAGCTGTATGACCTGGGGCAGGTAAACTAAGCTTTCTGAGCCTCAGTAAAATGGGAGTATTAGCACCTACTTCACAAGATTGTTTAGAAGAATTATGTGAATTAAAATGTAAAGTGTTTTGTAAACCTTAAATGCTCTATAAATGCTAGCTATTATTATGATCTTATTAGCTTTCTTGCTGTTTCTCATACCTGATGCTCCATCTCCTATCCTTGCCTTTACATTGTCTGACCCCACCCTCCATGCCTGGAATAGACTATCTCCTCACCTCTTCAGATCCCAGGTTTCCTTCAAGACTTAGCTTAAGCATCCCCTACAGGTGTCTTGTCCTTACCCTCCCTTCTCTCATGGGAGTACCTTCTCCTCCAAGGTTATGTTGTATCTATTTTGTATATAGCTCTCTATGTACATAATGTTTTTCCTGTTAGAATGTAAGCTTCTTGAGGGCTTGGACTGTTTTGCTTTTGTCTTTGTATTTTCAGTAAAACATAGTGGCACAAAGTAGGTGCTTAATAAATACTTATTGGTTGATGAATTATGAGATAGAGCTGGCAGATTTTCACATTATTTGCCCTGTTGTGCATTGTGTGCTTTGCCCTTTTAAGGTGTACCTGAATCATTTACACAATGATGATGTATTTGTTTAATCTTAATGTTAACTACCTTTTAAAACTCACTTGTAATTGGGCCATTCACTGGGTACTATTTATGCTGAATTTTGATGCTTCATGCATAGAATGCTCTTAAGCCCTGTTTTTTTTCTAGGTTGTTGCAACTAGAACCATTAGCCCCAAACAGTGCTCATTTGTTCCTAGTTTGGCAAATATTCTAGTGATAGCTAAGTCATTATATATCTTAGTGGTCAGGGTTTCTGAAACACCAGGATTAATTCTATGGGTAGGAAATATACACAAATGTGGGAAAGGATTAGAAGTTAGGCTTCCACAACAGAACAAGGGAATTCTGAGAAGCACTTCCAAAATCTTGTGGATAGTCCCTCAACCAATCAAAAAGTGCCCCAAACATTCTGCAAACAACTAGTTCCTTAAGAAAGAGCCCTGGAGGCTAAACCAGTTGCAACCTGTCTAGGTCAAGGATGGGGCAAAGGCTTTTCTCCACTGTGCTTGCTTAATAAGCTTATTGAATATTAACTGACACACCCCACGGGTGGAGATAGTCGCCATTTTTGAACATGGGATGCATGAATTGGAGGAGCTAACATGACAAGGAAGAACATGGAGGAACATGGAATGGGCGGTTCAGGAAGAGTGGAACTCGGATGATCTGGTCCAGTCATGGCTCAGCAGGGAGGAGTATGAATTTTACTAACCATTTAAAAGTTGATTCTACCTCTGTGCCAGTGCACACGTGCCACTAGGGTGTGGTGTGCCCGCTTCTCGAGAGAAGCGTAATAAAGGCTTTCCTTCACACACTCCTGTAGTAGATCTTTGTTTCAGATTTTTCTAACAATGAGCAAGGTTAATATCTGTGTGTATGTGTCTATCTTTCTATATAGATACATACACCTATATGTATGACATGTATATTGTATATATGCACATACAACATATGCACATATATGTTGTAGGTGCATCACTGAATTTGGAGCATTGAATTTTAAGTCGTAAGATCTGAGTTCTTTTACCACCTGTAGGACCTTCCAAAGGAGGAGAGGGGCCAGGGAGAGCTGTCTAAACTAGATGGGGACGCAGGATTAGGGAGTGGTAGCAGTGGATGGGGTTTTCAGCTCCTTAACTGTAAGTACAACTATGAGGGAGAGAGGAGTTGGAGTTTGCTAGCTGTGAGATCTGGGAAGTATCATTTGACCAGAGCCTCACTGCAGGTATCAGTCTGTTTCCTCTCCAAACCCCAGGGAGTAGTAGATCCTTGACATTATGTTTGTAATATTTTAAAAAGTATAGTATGATATAATTAAGTGTAACTAAATAGAGGGAGTAATAATAATAACTGACATTCATATAATGCCTACTGTGTGCCAAGCACAGTGCTAAGTGCTTTGCAAATATCTCATTTCATCCTTACAACAACTCTGGGAGATAAGTGCTATTATTATCCCTGTTTTACAGATGATGAAACAGGCAAACGGGTTAAATGACTTGCTTAGGGTTGCAGAGGTAGAAAGTATCCGGGACCAGATTTGAACCCAGATCTTCCTGCCTCTAAGTCTGGCACTCTGTCTATTGTGCCACCTAGCTGCCTCTCACCACCTCCCTGACTCTACATATGGAGACTGAAATAAAAGTCACATTTCTTCATTAACTTTCTTTCAGACAGAAGCAGAAGATATGACTTCATTCTTGTTATCATGTACATCACTTGCAAAACAGGTTGAAGAAGCAGTTAAAGAAGAACAACAGGTATTTATCCTTTGTAGATTGCAAAGAATGAAAACATTTAAAATTTGCTTTAGAAAAATGTAGAATACAATGATCCATCTTCCATTGAACTACTGAGGTGACTTTTCTAAAGCATAATTCTGACCATGTCATCACCCTGTTCAATGAAGATCAGTGACTTCCTGTTACCTCTAGGCTCTAATTTAAACTCCTCTGTTTGGCATTAAAAGATCTTCATAACATGGTCCCTTCCCATTTGTCTAGTATTCTTCTACCAGAATCCCCTCCTCAAACTCTCCTATCCAGCTACACTCAAGCAAGTTACTCAAGCATGACCTTCCAGTCCCTGTTTTCGTGCATTTCCATGACTGGAATGCTCAGCCCTTTCTTAGGTTTTGGGGGTTCAAAATGTTTTGGGGAGGAGTACACAATAGCTAATGAAGATGTAAGAATGCAGGATAGGGTAGGTTGAGATGGCAGAAAAGCTGGTAGTCCAATTTGCATGGAGTAGAGACTATTCAAAGCAAGTTTAAGTCAGATAACACAGGAACCTAAATGCCAGAATGAGGAGTTTGTGTTTGTCCCATACTCAGTGGAGAGCCATCAGAGGTTTTTGAACAGGTAAGTGATATGGTTAAATGTTTATTGTTTGGAACATTATTTTGGCAGCTATATGAAGAATTAATTAGAGAGGAAAAGTACAATGTAGTAGAAAAAGTGCTAGATTTTGGTCCAGACTACCTGAGTTCTAATTCTAGCTTTTCATTGGATAGAACAGAGAACTTGGAGTCTGGAAGCCTGGAGTTACCAAATTTAGCCTCAGATCCTTATTGGCTTTGTGATACTGGGCCAGTCGCTTAACTCCTGACTGCCTCAGTTTTCTTATCTATAAAATGGTGATAATAATGGCACCTACCTTCTAGGCTTGTTATGAAAATCAAATAAGATAATATTTAGAAGTAATTTTGCAAATATTAAAGTGCTTTATAACAACTGTTAACTCTGAAAACTAGATGTAAAATCACATTTTCACAAGGTAGCTTTTCACCTAACAGAGAAATGCTATAGACTTGAAATAAATACATATCATATATTTTGCACTTTGAAGGTTGGTGTTATAATCATATTTATTGACCATATGCTTTTATTTTCCAGATATTAGAATCTCTTTTTAAGGTAATTACCCAAATTGTTGCTGGCATTTACAAAACTTGTACAAAACATTTATATAACTATATTTGTAAAAAAAAATCCACAAAGGTAAGGATATAAATTTGGATTATATATGAATGAATAGCTAAACAAGTATTTAGTACCTACTGTGTACCTCCTGGCGGTAGGCAGGCACTGGGGATAGAAATTAAAACATGATACTGTCCTTGCCTTCAAAGAAGTTGTATTTTAATAGAGGGATACAGTGCAAGGTACAATAGAATTGGGAACCAAAAGAAGTATTTTGGCCTGAGGAATTACAGAGATTGTGAGTGAAACCATGATAGTCAATTTTCATGCCCTTCCTACTTGCAGTGATAGCATCCATTTGATTGCTATGTGTAGTGCTATATGGAGAGGTGCAGAAGGAGTAGGGGTAGAAGGTTAGTGCAGTAGAACATATAATAAAATGCTTCTGCTGAGTAGACCCTTTTCTGACTAGACGGGTAAGAGTGACTGAGGACAGCTCGATATAGTGTGGATTAAGTCACTCCCCTGTGGAATAATTCTGCCATGGTGGGGTAGGGGGAACTTGATTTCTGGAGGTCTGGACCAGGAGAGTTGTTGTTCCTGGTGGGAAGGCTCTTACAACAAAAAGGAGATTATCAAACTTTTCTCTGTATATATGTATAGGAAAGAAGATTATCAAATTTTTATATTTATATATATATATATCTTTACTCATCTTGATATTTTGTTTCAAGACAGAATTTTAACATGTTAGTAATTAATTCTTTTTTTCCCTTAAAGTGGTTTCAAAAAGAGGTCTATCATGTAGAAGAGGTAAATATAATAACTTTAAATAATTAAGATGATATTTGGTCTAACTTTGAACACTAAAAAACCTGGGTATAATGGAGAGCCTTAACCAAATTTATTATAATCAGTTAACATTTTTTGAATACTTTTTGGTCATATGTTACTGTTGCATAGTAACATTTTTTAAAAACTTTGAGTGGATTTTCTGCTGTGGAAGCATTCACTAACAAGACATGTTCCTCCTTTCATCTATGCATATTAATTAGCAATGTGAACAATATTTCCTACCATACTTCCTTCCCAATATTTTTGAGATATTTGTAGAAAAGAAATTTAATGTTTATCTCTAATTGTATATGTACCATAGAAGAGCCCATTTATTAATAAAAGCTTTTTTAATAGTCAAATGTTATAGAGAAAATACTTTTAAAAACTGGGAAACATTTAAAAAAAGTTTCTCTCCCTTGGCCCCTGGCCCCTGTGGGATCAGAGAGAAAATAAATTATTACAAAACATAGATAGGACACTGTTTACTCATTTCCTCTAGGCACTTGCAGTCCAGTTCGGTAAAATATTTCATGTAGTTAAAGATGAAATAACAAATAAATATATTTGAGATATATAATTTAAATGTTCTTAGTAGGTTGTTAATTCTTCTGAGAGTGAGCGTTCAGCTCTGTAAGGTAGAAAGGGATATATGTGAGAGATGCTGTGAAGGTAAAAATGACAAGATTTGGTAACTGATTGGGTATGTAAGGTGAGTGAGAGTGAGGAGCTGAGAATGGTAATGAGGATATAAACCTCAGTGACTGGGAGGCTGCCCTCAACAATAATAGGGAAAATCAGAAAAGGAGAGATTGGGAGTTAGGGGAAGAGAAAATAATTCTGTAATTGACATGTTGAGTTTGAGATGCCTTTTGGACATCCAGTTCAAATGTCCGATGGGCATCTGTTGATGCAGGAGTTGGAGAGAGAAACTAGGGCTATATATATAGATCTGGGAATCATATATTTAGAGATCCAATTCAATCTATGAGAGCCAATGATATCAAGTGAGAGAGCAGAGGGCTACCCAAGAAGAGGACCAAGGACAGAACCTTGGGCAGCATCCACAATTAGTGGGGAGAACTTGGATGAAGACCCAGAAAAGAAGCCCAAGAAGGAACAGTTGTACACACAGTCTGTGTTTTCTATTAATTCCATCAACTTCTTGGCTCGTCCTTCATAATCTGTTGACTACAGCCACATCCATGCCAGATGAGTATGAGAACCAGAAGAGAGCAATATCATGGTAAAAACAAAAAAGAAGAGAGTGTCCAGGAGGGGAGACAGCCAACATTGTCACATACTCCAGAGAAGTCAGGTTGGGTGAGGCCTGAGAAAAGGTCACAAGATGAAGAAATTATTGATAATTTTGGAGAGGGCAGTTTTGCCTGAATGATGAGGTCAGAAGCCCGATTGCAGAGGATTTAGAAGAGAATGAAAGGAGAGTGTCTAGAAGCATCAAGTTCAGATAACTTTTTCATTCTTTTTAAAAGAAATTATTTGTTTTTATTCTGAACTTAACAAATTTCAAATAAAATGAGTGTTTCCACATACAGATTAGAACAGAAAAAAAGGTTTGTGTATGAATCTGAAAATCTGTTTTATGAACATCTTGCTTTTTCTTTTAAATGTAAAATAAATTCAACGTGGAAATTTTAAAGCTGTCCAGCTTTTCTTTGATCTATTTTCCAGGTCAGTTGTTTTTGATAATTTGATACCTATCTTACATGGTCTTCTATTCTTTTAGTCTTTCAATTTTATTCAAGTATTTCTTGTTGTCTTGTGGAACCACTGAATTCTATTTACTTTGTTCTCTTTTTAGTGAAGTCCACTATTGGGCGAGGTTTTCCAGTTTTTGTTTTAACCTACTTATTCTTCTTCCATTTTTTTTGAGTTCCAATTTTTTAATCTCTTCATTTTATCCAGTCATTCTTGGAATCCTTATGGCCAAGCCATCCATTTTTCTGTGAGTCTTCTTATCCTTGCTGTGGGATGACTCTCGTGGACTTCTGTTAACCCCTAGTATTTCTCATTGCATTTGGGATTTTCTTATATTTGCCTGTATTTCCAGCCTCAGTTTTGGGGTTGGGACTTTGGCACAGCTCTATTCCTCTCCTGCACCTCTCCCCCTATTCTTGGGTAGAGTAGGAAGGCAATACTTGGTTCTGCCCCCCTGTAATTTGAATGTCACTACCAGACATTATGGATGGAATGAATGGGATCATGCCTTGATCCCTGGTTTCTGCCTCTACTTCTGGTAGCCCATTATAGTTGTTGGCTTCAGCCCTTCTCCGTTTCCTTTTTCTTACACAGTCTCTAACTGGGAGTCAGTACTGTTTCTTACCGTGATCCTGAGAGACTCTAATCATTTGTAGGGATTGTCCTGGCCTCAGGCCAGCATACGTGGGAAGTTGTTGAGTTGTGGCCCTATCTCTAGCTTTGAGTTCTCTAAGGCATATCTTGCCTTGACTTGTGGATGCTGTCTCCCTGCCCACTACTTCTTTGAGATTCCACAGGCCTCAACTCCTGATAATTGCACATAAACCATGCTCTTTCAGAGCACCCCAGGCTTTGACCCTGCAGGTGAGGTTCCAGCTCTCTTGTTGAGTTCTGCACACAGCCCCCATAGGGATTGGGTGAAATGAGGTGCCTCTATGACCTTAGCTTGCAGGTGCTTTTGCCTTTCCTATTGCATCCTCTCTTGGAGTGCTTGCAAGCTGTTGGCCATCCTCGTGCAGTCCTGGGTTGGATGGAAGATGCTGCTGTATTTCTTTTATCCTTTTGATTGCTTTTAAATATTTGCTGGAGAATATGTGAGAGAATTGGGTTCCTCTTAACCTTTCACTTGGTAATTTTAAGCAGAAATTTTGGTAGCAAAAATGCTAAGTTAAAAATAATTTGAAACTTGAAATTTTTAATTTGAAATGCTTACCTCTATTATGATTAACTTTTCATTTGTTTTTCATGTATTCTCAACTGCTTCTTGAGGCAGAAGACCTTCTTGTTGCCATGTATCTTCTAACACATTGCTGTCCACATGGTGTTCAGCACAAAACTGACTGAATCAATTTCATCCACTTTTCCCTCCGTTTCTAGCTATATAATAGAAAATGCATGACTCATGGAAGAGTCTGGTAGCTTCCTCTTTCTTTTCCTGAAAAACTGCAAAGCACGGGTTACATCTTAGGCTGTGAGGCAAATGATGGTCAACAAATCTGGGCTGGGGTTCTCCAGCCCTGCTCTGTTGGTCTGCCCTCTAGCACTCCTTATTAGCTTTTTGGAATGATGAGTGTCAGATGGATATGGGATGATTTGGCATAACCCAAGGCATGTGATTACTTTCAGTGGCTTATATACAGGCTATATACAGGCTATCTAGCTTTAGGTTGCCAGAGTGAAGAGATTCTCAAAAAGAATTCTGGGTAAGTGAATTTATTATCACTTACCAATACTTTAAGTTGCATTTCATTATTACTATTACATTAGTTATGTAAATATTGTTAGGAAAATATATAGTATAGAAACTAAAGCTTGAGTTAGCACTCATTTGATCTTATTGTCATTTTCCTTTTTAAAATGTCTAATAATAATCTTAGTTTTAAACTTAGTAGCAGCTCTTGTTGCACATTTGCTTATGAGTTTATAAAATATTACTTTACCATTTGGCTATCACTACAGGTAAGAATAGTATTCCAAGAATACTTTTGTTATGGTTAATAAAATATTTGGGGGGAGAGCCCCAGGTGTAGTAACTTTAAAATATCTGATTGAAATTTTATTATTTTAGTTAGTAAAAGAACAAAATGTTTCAGACTGGGAGCTTCCTTTGCCAAACAAAGCAGTATCTTCAAGTATTTCCCAAGTGATAGAACGTTTGCAAAAACTTGAACAATTAAGGAATCGCCTTAGTACGGTGCCAACGGCCACCAGAAGAGCTGTAGCTGTGAAACATAAGCTGTAAGTGAATTGTAAATATCATTACATTACGACCATGAAGAGGAGAGATGCAATTAGTACTGCATTTGGGAAAGAGTTGTAGACACTTTTGACAGTGAATCTGCAGGTCAATTAGATCAACTGGAACACATGATCAGCTTGCCATATCTTCTCTATCTACTCAGAGTTGCTTCTATGTGAAACTTTCGGAACTTGACTATGCCTCCCTCCTCAAGATCTATCCCCTAACTCTCATTGCTTAGTTTTTCCACTCTTGTTTCTGGGCTGTAAGAGTTGATAGGAAGTAGTCACATAACTATATTGATGGGTTTCACCACACATTTGTACCATCTAAGCTCGTGGGGGCTTTCACTCTCCTCTTTTTTTAGTCATCTCATTTGTTCAGCAAGTATTTATTGAGTGCCTATAATGTATAAGATGCTCTGGATGATATAAATAGGAATAAGATGCAGATCCATCATTTACGGAGCTTACTACTTTAGTAGGATAGGTAAGACATATACATATTTGAATCCTGTCTCTGTGCCCATGGGCCACTATTACCCCCTCTGGATCTGTTTCTTCATTTGTAAAATGAAGGGATTGGGTTAAATGATCTGCAAGGTCCTCCCCATCTCTCTTTACTATACTATAAATAATCACAACACCAGGTAGAGTGTGCCAATGCAGGCCCAAAAGAGGTGCAAAAAACCCAGTTAGTGTTTAGAGGAGGCAGAGACTGTTTCTGTTTGGGAGATGGAGCTGGAGTGAAGAGGGAGGATTAGAGAAGGCACCTCCAAGGAGATGGCTTTGAAAATGGAGTTGCTAACTAAATTCCCTGCAGTGATTGTTCTTTAACTTTTTCAACTCTACTTATGACCCTCATCCCACCCTCACCTTATGTCCTCCTTTAACGAGATGGCGTCATTGTCTTTCCTTGAACATCATCCCTTGAGAGAGGAGACAAGAAAGCCTCAGAACCATACTCTTAGATAAAAGTTTAAGTTGCCTAGGGCTGGTTTTCAACAAAAATTGTCACTCCTAGCAATTTGACTATTCAGAAAAGTTACTCAGCTCTTTCTAGCTATTCATTGATAGATACAGACTCATACCTGAATTCGAGATCCCAAAGACTAAAGGATGGTATTCCCTAGATCACACAGTTCTTTGAGCATCTTGACCATGACATTTCAATTTTTTCCCCCTATAGCAGCCCCTCTTAACAGTACTGAGAGAGATGACCAGGACATATCACTAACTTCAGGAGCCCATATGCTGGATTTTTCTTATTGGCTCTGGCTGTCTCCAGTGGAGAGTGGCTGCTACTGAGACTGTGCTTCAGCTGTGCCACTGGCATGGTAACTCTCTGCTGTGTTCCTGAATCTTCACATCTTAAGTCTGTCTACATTGACAGTCCACTTCACTGTGAACATGTGGAGAAATCAGCTTCCATTGGGTGTCACTGAATATTTACTTCCTCTCTAGTCATGAGCTTGTCATCACGCTGCTAACATACATCTTACCTTACTGAAGCTCAAGCTGTCTTTTCATCTATCAGTTCCTCCTCTTTCTGTTTCAAAGGAAGATGTATCCTTACTTATCAAGGCTAGTACCTCAATTTGTACCCTTGATTCTATAACTTTCTGCCTCCAAGAACTAGTTTCATCAGTTATCTCCTTCTACTTTTCGCAGTTTCAGTCCCTTGTTCTCCCCTGGCTCTTTACCCTTTGGCTTACAAACATTTTCAGATCTCTGCTAGTTTAAAAGAAACCTTTACTTGATCCTACTATATCATTCTGCCCCTTTCTTTGCTTTTACCACCATTTTTTTTGAACGAGTAATCTAGGGCAGCTAGGTGGTACAGTGGGTAGAGCTCTGGCCTTGGAATCAGGGGGACCTGAGTTCAAATGTGACCTCAGACACATGACACTTACGAGCTGTGTGACTCTGGGCAAATCACTTAACCCCAATTGCCTCATCAAAAGGCAAAAATGTACCTGATGTTCATGCCTTGTTTAGCTCTCACTTCAATTTGATAGCTTTTTTTCACTCCTTATCCTCCTTGTCCTTTCTGCAGATTTCGACACTGTTGATCATTCCTATCTATTGGATATTCTCTTCTTTAGAATTCATGGCACTCTTTCATCCTGGTTCTTCTCCTATGTGACTCCTTCTTTGTCTTCTTTTCTCTTTCATAATTCATCTCCTGGCTCTCCCTCCCAATCTCCTTTAAGTGTGAGTTTGCTTATAACATAGTAGATATTCACTAAATGTCTTCTGAATTGATGTTAAGGAAACAAGAGAATTTGCCTATGTTCTTCAGACACATTCCTGATAACTTTTCTGTACAGTCCTCTTTAAGTATTCTGTCTGGCTTAACTTTGTTAAAACTCTTGACTTCTGAGATTCTTTCCCTTAAAGTGTTATTTAGGCTTTGTGTTTTAATTTCTTGTTGTCTTTTAAGTGCTTGCCCCAGCAGTGTCCTTTTCCTTTCTTTTTGACCTCTACCTATTGTTTTCATGTTCACTCTTACTTGTTCCATCTAGTTTGGCACTTAGCCATGTACTTCTCATTGTTATTAACTTTCCTTGTATATATTTTGCTTTCCTAGTGAGATAATAAGTTCTTTCTGAGGGTAGGAACTATGTACCTTTTTGGTATTCCCCACAGTTCCCAAAAGAAGACTGTACAAATAGTTTCTGCTCAATAAATATTAATTGAATAAATGAATGAATTATTAAATGGTTAGTAATATGTTCTTTTCCTGTTCTGTTTCTTCTCTGTCCATCTCTTGATTGGTTATTTATCCATTTAGAATATACTTTTATAAGCAACTACATTACATCAAACTTACATAAAACATTTCATTTCCACAGCCAAATAATCTATATACACCTAGGAAGGGAGGCTACATATTATAGACTTCCCTCTCAGTAGAAGTTATGAAGGAATGAGAAAAAAAAAAGACATAATAGGTAGAGCAAAATCAGTCAATAGATAGCTAGATAAGATTTTCTTGATTCTTATTGGCTGGCAACCTCAAACTCCTCTTTCCCATTAACTTACAAAGAACTAGGGGCAAAAGGAGAAAAAAGCTTGGGTTGCCTGCATATTCGAATCCTTGATTCATAATATATGAAATTGCCAAGATTTGGTTAATTAAATTTTGAGTTTTAATTTTGTTTTTTAAGTGTTAATGAAATTATTCCTTGACAAAAAGTTTTCTTTTCCTATTGACTTCACATTTGCTGTTATTTATTTTGTTTAGATTCTTGTTTTTGACTCACAGTTTGGATTGGCCATTTGGCTTTATAGATTTACCCAGCTTTACTTGTTTCTCATTTGATTATTCTTTTAAAAAATTACTAACAGAATTCTCATAAAACATTGTGATTTTTCTTATTTTTGTAATCAGATACCCATAGCATTTCTTAGACTGAACAGCAAGCACAGTTAAATGTAACTTCAACTCTTTAATATTTATGTATTAAATTAGGTTTCATTGTGGTAAACTTTGACAGGGACAACCAATCAGAAACAGCCCATATTTATGAAGATGTAAAGAAGATGATTGAAGGTGATGGTTTTTTTCATTAATATTGCTTTTAAAACATTTTGGATGTTAACTTACAGTAAAAATCATTAGTAAAAATATTACTAAAATTATCTAATATGGATTTCTTTTTGTATGATAAGTAGATATTTTTATATAAAATTAGAGTGATAAATTACTGTATAACTTTGTAAAAATAATTACAAACCCAAATTTATATACTTACAAAATATTAAAGGTGGAGATTTATTTAATTTATTAAACAGTAGAGAAGCATGAATTTTCCTCTGTAATATCTCTGATTGTAAAATTTATTCCTGATCTACCTTAATCAAATTCTACTACAACTTTAAGTGAGATTGCCTCTTAAATTCCCTACTAGAACCAGTCTCAAACCTAAGAGATCCTTTGACAGTAGACTAGGATGCCATGACAAATTGCACTCACTAAATCACATAACAGATTTCACCTTGAAAACAATTTTAAGTTGATTGAACCCATACTTCACTACTTTAGGAATAAGTGATTTCAGGGGTATGGACACCATATCCACCAATTCTGATTGTTACCTTTCTGTGCCTCAGTAGAACATCTTTGTGAGTTGTTATGGCCAAAATTTTATCATCCTGTGATCAACCTTGGGATGAGTCTTTCTGAACTTAGGTAGGCTGGTCTTCACATGACAAACATAGCCCATGTTGAACACATAGAAATAACATATGCATTGATCACTTTGGAAATATTTTAGCTTCAACCAAATATGTGAATCTTTTCTAATAATGACTTTGAAAGGAGAATTTTAGTTTTAATATAAAATCCCAATCACATATTCACAGACAAAAATAGATGAAAGGGTGGCTGCCAACACCCCAGTACAGCTGCCTACCATTTAGTGGAAAGAAGTGAGCTCACTATCCCTTTGACTTTATGATTGAATAGGCAGAGCTACCTCTTTGATGATGCTGGGTCCCTGTACGTTTTATAGCCTTACCTCCCAGTTCACTTAACTCTTTGGTCCTCAACTGTTCATTTGTTCTTGTCCTATGTATTCTATTCCTGCTCTGTTTTTATGAATACTATCTTATGCAGAAAAGCCTGTTTACCTCTGCAACCTTTGGAAATTGTTTTGAATAACCTCGGACTGATCTCTTTTCTGCATATTTGACAATTGTTTTGCTCATGCCTCAGAACAGTTGTTAATCATGAGTGTGGATCTAGGGTTTGTGTACTGAAAACTTAGGCCTGAACTATTCATACTCCCATCTAGTTAAAAACACCAGGAAGTTTAAACACAACAGAATTTTTTTTAAAAGCCTGTAATGTCTATTAACTCACTGCCTTGTGTGGCATGCTCTTCTCCTTATTGCTGGTTTTGGGCCACCCAGATAGTAAAAGATAAAGTAGACTTTTTAGCTACCTGGTCCCAAGAAAGCCTTTGCTATGCTATAATCCTTATGTCAGAGGTTCCCTTTTCGTACTGGCTCATGGCTGGCATCCAGACAAACTAGGAACTTACTATCTGACACAAGCTAAGGAAAGTGTTGTGAATACACAGGGAACTCACCAAGTTGCTTATGCTTTAAAAAGATATGGGCAGAGGATGGAAGCAAAGGCATGGAATAGCAGATGAATAAAAAAGTGGCGCAATACTGTAAGAATAATGATGAGAGGCTCAGAATAAGGTTAGCAAAGAAAATTTTTAAATATTGGGAAAAGAGGACCAAGAAGAGACAAGATTGATGCTTGGGGTGAATGAGATATTGGTAACTGATAACAGAAGAAATAATACTGTTCAGTTTTATTTTTGCTTCCATTTTATCTGCCAAAAAGAAAGTCTTTTTGACTGGAAAATATGGAACAGAGTTGGCAATATGGAGCCGATGCTCAAGAAAATTAGGAAGACAGAGCATATAGCTACCACTTACAAGTTTAAGGTATTAGGCTCACATGAACAGATATGCCAGAGTTGTGAAAGAACTGACAAATATAATTACTAAAACTGCTATCAATGATCTCTTAAAGATCATGACAAGTGGAAAACAAACCTCAGTGTTTGAAAAGGGCAAAAAAGGATGAGGCTGGAGTTTATAAGCCAATGAGTTTGATATCAAATCCTGGCCCACATCTGAAACATATTAGGAAAAGGATGGTTAGAGAACATCAATGCAACTCATGACCTAGCCCTCTCCTTCTCCCTCCCAGGGACTTAGGTCTAGGGAGCCCTCAATAGCACAGACCACAGAAGGCAATTTGATCACCCCCTTACTTCACGCATTCTAATGGCTCCTTATTACCTCCTGGACAAGTTATAGACTCCACTGCTTGGCAATTAAATCTCTTCACAAACTGGCCCCTTCCTACCTCTTCAGTTTTATTATAGATTACTCTTCTGCATATGCTCTTTGGTTCAGCCAAATTGTATATTTGCTGTTATCACATACAACAGTCTTCCTCCTGCCTCAGAATTTTTACAATCCCTGGTTTCCTTCAAAATTAGTTCAAATGTTATCTTCTTTATGTATCTGTTCTTGGTCCTCCCCTAGCTGCTATTACCTTCCTCCAAAGTAATCTTGTGTCTGTATTTGTGTTTTGTATGTACTTGGGTTTTTGTATGTATAAATGTGTGCAGCTTGATATTAGAACCAATTTCCCTGCAAGTAAAGAATAAGGTCTGGGATAGCTACATATACTTCTGGGAATCATAGTTCAGGTGGAGAGTTAGTGTCCTCTTGTCTGGGAGAAATTTTATCATGAGGTGAGAGTTGGAATTGGAATTGAAAGCAGGAGAGTGTCTTTTTTCCAGTTGTGTTAACAGAATACTAAGCAGTTTGTCTGGTGGTCCCATTAGCAATTTTGGCCAGGAGCAGAGAGGTGGGACATGATTGCAGTGGGATTGGAGAAGTGGACCAAGCTCAATCCATATAGACACTGATTGCATCTTGCCTGTGGGAGCTCTAATGAGAGAAGCCATTTCTGATTCCTGGAGATGGCAAGTCTTTCATGCTTGCCTTTGGTACTTTTTGCAAAGAAGTTAATGATAGTAATTGCTATGGGAGAGTTGTGAAAGACTTAATCCCTCCTGATTTCTTTGCCTGCAAATGTAGGCATTCCCTCTAAGGCTTCATTTTCCCTTTGTTCTTTGAGTTATTTTAAATTTCTGATTTCATAGTGTTTCCTTTTCTAATTTAACCTGACATAAAACTATCATCATAAATGTTATGTTATATGTATCTATTAGTGATTTAAAACGGAAGGGGCTACAAGGGAGGAGATCGTCGATGGCTGGGACTGATACATAGAAAGCGGGATAGAGGTTCCATCCCTCTGTCTAAAATGGTAGAGTTTGTTTTCCTAACTAAAGGCTCCAAGCAAAAGAGAGAACCTCAATAATTTTTGATTTATAAATTTTGGTAAATTCTCTAAAAGGCAGAATTTAACTTTACCTGGGATTTTCTGTCTTAAGGCTAAAGTCTCATACTAGTTTGCCACGGTTTTCTGGTAAGGCATGTGAATGTATGTGTGTGTGTGTGTGTGTGTGTGTGTGTGTGTGTGTGTGTGTTGTGTGTGTGTGTGTGTTTGTACTGTGTAATTTTCTTCCCATTATTTTCTTCTTAAGCAGGCTCAGGAGAGAGGGATGACAGAGACTGAGAAGTCCTCCCTTCCCACCTTTTGGTAGGAAAAAGGGTTTGAGAGGAGTGACCCCACTCCAAATTCCAAACATCAGTTACTCTGTCACTTATATAGTAGATATTGCTGGACAGTGCCCTCTGCTGGTTACAAATACATTAAAATATTAGAATAATCTTGAAGGCTGAAGCAATTTCACTTTTGATTTGTATCCTTAGTACCTGGCATAGCTCCTGGCACTGAGTAGGTGCTTAACAAAGGCTTGTTGATAGATTGATGGATTGAACAAGTATTGGAATCATAAAACACACAAATAGTTCATTACACTCATACTCTCCTGGAAGGTGGAGAGTGTGAGACAGCTGAATAGATATTTCCTACTCATTTTGGAGCTGCACAATTCACAGAATTATCATGAAGGGTTGGTAAGGTCCACATCTTCTCTGCTATGGCATGGTTTTGGTCTTCCATCTCTTCCTTCCCCAGATTTCACACTGTTGAGGAGAACTTCGCTGGGGTGACCACACCTGACTCTTGTAGATAGAAATGCTTCAACTCAGGAATTATTTCCAAAAGGTAACTACCAGCCTGGAAATACCCATTCTCAGGATTGTTATTACCTGACCATTGCTCAGAAGAGGAAATAGAAAGGCAAATGATGGCAGACAGGAACCAAAGGTCAGAAACTCTAGTCTCCGCTTCCCCCAGGCAATTTTAGCTTCTTGCCATATTCCCCTCTCCCTCAAACACCCTTAAGGGATGAAGAGGAGAAATCCTTTCCCTCTCCTCCTTTTTATACTCTGCTTTGGAAGTCCAGGAAGAGAAAGTTCACAAACTAAAAGAAATGTTATAAACCATAGAATCCGGTAGGTTCTTCTTATCAGAATTCTTTCTCCTCACTCTCAATTGCCAAGCATCTCAGAGGCAGTTCTAGTTACTGAGGATCAATGAGAGGCATTCACAGTGTTCTCTAAGCAAAGATTAATAGACAATTCAGGGTTTTTTTTAAGACTTCTGTTTAAAGCTAAGTCAGCAAAATGAGACAACAGTGCAAGAGAGTGGAGAGAGGTGACCATAATAAAAGTCCATTATGGTAAAGTGTCTCTGAGGTTATAAGAAAGGGTGGGTTGATGAAATTCCTGTAGGAAACTGTTCTGTTGTTGCACTAGCTTGTTTGAATTTGTCTAGGTCTGTGGGAGGTGCTCTTTTGCAACAATACCCTTTAATCTTAACAATCTGATTGGATGGACTCATTAAATTTATCAGAGGAGCCTCTGAACATCACCATTAAGTCTAGAAAAAGGAGCAATGATCAAGACCTGTTTATCAAGAACAAGTCAGGACAAAGTAACCTTATTTCTCTTTTTGATTTGGTTGGTAAACTAGTAAATCAGGGG